GTTATAGAGATCATCCTGGTGGCTAGATTTTTTTTTTTAATGATGACTAAAAATGCCTATTTAGAGAGGATACTGAATGACATAGTGAACATTTAAAGTTGAAACTTCCTGTCCACCAAATATTTTCCTAAATATGTTTTTAAGCATATACATTAACCTATAAAGTCAACTCTTAATTATCTACAGCAAAAGAGAACTTTGGTACTACTAAATTCAATTTTTTTTAATGTAAAATTGCAGAGTATTTTTGGAATTAAATTGGAGCATGCCTAAATATGAAAATGTGAAAGTCCCATTTTTCTGTTATGTACTCTATTATGAGGAATGAACAGCCTAACTATACTGAATTATTGATATAAATAAAGCACCACCATAAAATCTCTTCCTAAAAGATTGCTGGGTCACATCTAGCAATTTAGGGCAAAAGGTAAATAAAGAATTACTTTTAAAAGCCTCATTTCCCTTTTGATAGGAGCATCAACATACTAAAATAAAAATAATGTAATAAGTACTTCCAAAATATAACAATTTTAGTTCTCCCATATGATAAGGGGCTGACAAGAAAACAAAAAATAAATAAAAAGATAAAATTTAAAAAGAAGTAAAAAATAGAAAATATTTTTAAAAAGCAGCCTAGGCAAGAGAAGTGGGTGGGTTTAGGAGAATCCCTTTCTGAAAAATTCAGAGAATTATTATTAATCCTTCTTAAATTAAATGTAGGATCAAGCATACTGTATGTGGAACTGGGACAATTCTTTGATAAACTTTAAGGTTGCTAAATAACTTACAGAAACTATGAATGCATTTTCATTTTAAGAGGCAAAAGAGAAAATATTCCAGATTGCATAACAATTTTATTTTTTGAAATGGTTATCCTAAAGAATTTCCTTAAATTCAGATTTTTGCAAAATTCCTACTTTCCAAGTCATCAAGTAAACACTAAAAACAACTTTACTCATGAATATGGTAAACTCTTTATGAAGCATACATTTTTCATAAATCTAGGCCAAAGTAAGCTAATTGAAATTTAATTCTAAATTCATCCTGTGATTTCTGGACATAATATTGGCATAAAACGAGTAAAAATACTTTTAAAAAAAAGCATTTACTTCCCAAATAATTTAGTTTTGGAAATATTTATATTCTTAGTCAAAAAATTACTTTTAGAGTCTAAAGGTTTTAAAAACAAAATTGGTCCAACAATTATCAAAATGAAATGACTATAAACACTGACTAAAACTTCTTAACCCACAGAAATAAACCATTTCAGGTGAGTTCACCTCACTTAATTTTTAAAACCCATTTCTCTTTTCCAGCTTCACAACTGGATTGAACATTGCTCAGCTGCTCAACAACATTACCTATGTCAAAAGTGAAAAGATAAAAAGTATTGTAAATATTTCACAGTGAGTAAATCTGGGAAGAGTATACTGTATATAATCAACATTTCAGAGCTGGAAGGGATCTTTAATGTCTAATCCAGCACCCACATTTTATAGATGAGAAAACCAAGCCCAAACACGTCAGATAACTTGACCAAAGTCACAATCCTCAGCTGAGCCATTCATTCTTTCAATCATTCATTCACCCACTTACTGAAAGCTGCCTAAGTTCCAGGCTGGATGTTAGGAGATGGAAAGCAGCATTCACAATTGCCAAGGCAGTCTTTTTTTCCTTGTATTTTCAAGATATATTCTTAAACTTCCTGATCACCAGAACTCATAGGAGAGTTCCACAGCCTTAGTAGAACTTAGCCCAGTTTTAGTTTCATACATTTCAATAAACATAGTTGGGTTTAACTTCAGAGAAGCCTCGATTGTTGTTTACTTTAAATGATTAAGCATTAACAAAGGGAGGCACAATATTCTGAAAGAGTCCCTTTCTAGTACATTTATAACTTAAGGAAGTGAATTCAGAAAATACCCTGTACACACAGACCAAGTTCACGGAGAGGACAGCTTACAAAATCAGAGGAATCTGAGGTATCAATATATTACAGATCAGTGAAGTCCAATAGCTCAAGTTTACAAGTTTACAAAGTGTGAAATGTAAACATCTCCCCATTCCATTTAGATATGGGTATGTCTACATGTTAAAAGACCTCCAAACTCACACTCAAACAAATTCCCTCTTTCAATTACACATGGATCTAAAACCAGGCTTTCTGCCTTAAGATCAACTTTTTAAAATTTCTTTTTGATTAGAAAAAATTAGATTAACAAATAAAATCTAAAATTTAATGTGCTGGCTAAAAAAGAAATTCAAATTCTATGTAATCAAAATAACAATAACTCAAACTGCACATTCATGAGTTTTGTTAAAAAATGGGATGTGCAGTGAACTTACTCATCAGCATAAATCATACCTCATTTTTCTTGGACCTGTACATTCTTTAATATTAAGTCTGGCACTTAAATGTTTTGTGTGTTTCAATTCACAGTCAACTTATTTTAAGAAGAGACCATATTGACAAAGCTCTTAAATAAAACAACCCATAAGGCACTGTGAAATATTAAACAACAGCACTCTGGATACCCAGTTTCAGTGTGATATACCAAAATGAACCCCAGCTTTCCAGTGCTCCAGAGGACTGCTGGGTGGCTTTTGATAAAATAAAATACAATCTTCACTGAGGCTCTTATGGCTCTTTGACTTTCTTGAAGCTATTGTCAGCTCACGACGAAAGTGCTGTTGCGCTCTATTTCTCAAAACTCCAAATTTGATTTTTATCTAGAGCATCACAAGTTTTCATTTGTACATCAGGTCGGCCCTCTGGTGTCCGGTAAGCACTAAGACACAGTCCTGAGTGTGGGTGAAAAATGGTTCCATCGTCTTTAAAATGCCAAATAATATTTACTGGTGCAGGAAATCCATCTTTGGGACAATTTTGCATTCCTACATAATTCTTTTGCTCAGGAACCTCTGCACATAACTCTGTCACAGAATTAAACCTTATTTCTTTCTTTGAAGTATATTCAAAGAATTGATTGCCTCCTTGACCATGGCATCCAAACAGCGAAAGGTTAGCACCCGTGGGGTTGTTATCAGGAGAATTATAATCTAAACATTCAGACGAGATCCCTCTACTGCGAATAGCCCCATGCCAGCCTGGCCTATCCTCTGGAACATGTAAATTAGGAAACACGTTTTTCAAATACCAGTCAAAGCTCTTGCATTTCAGCCGCTCTCGTAGTAGTTTTCTTTCAGAAATGTCACCATAAGCTTCTTTTCTTGCTGGAGGGTTTCTATTGTAGAAGTGTTCTTTGTACTCATCCATCCAAACTTCTGCTGCCCGAGCAGTATTCTGTAGGAAATTGGGGCGAGCATATGGTGCCCGCTTGGGGAACACATGGCCCACGTGGGAACATGGGTGGATCTCCAATTTGCCACCACACTGCCACACCCTAAAAGACAGCTCAAGGTTTTCACCTCCCCACACTTCCATGCCAGTGTCATATGTTCCAAGGTACTGAAAATATTTCTTGCTGACAGCAAACAGTCCTCCAGCCATGGTAGGTGATCTGATGGGATCAATTCTTGATATCCGCCTGTCTCTTTCATGTTTGGGGACTGAATGCCATTGAAACGTTAAACGCCAGTCAAATCCACCAATCATGGGCTCCCCTGTCTGCATATAGAATTCAAAAGTATTCCAATCAATGGTGTCTATAACAGGACACACAATTGCTGTTTCATCTCTCCCAATCCTTTCCAGAAGTGGTTCCAGCCAGCCGGAATTACACTCACAGTGACAATCCAGGAAAGTGAGGACGTCCCCAGTGGCGAAAGTGGCCCCAATCAGACGGGCCCTAACCAGCCCCTCACGCTTATTGGTCCTAATCAAGCGTACTCGATCAAGATTGCTGATGTAAGTTTCAAGTTGTGTCTTCAAATAAACTCTGTCACTCAAGTCATCCACCAAGATGATCTCTTTCAAAAGCACTGCAGGAGAAGTTTCTAAAACACTGTGAATGGTACGGAGCAAAGTCGACCAGGCTTCATTATAGAAAGCAATGATAACAGACGTGGTAGGAAGTGTCCTATAGTTGAACTTCTTGGACTTACACTCATACATTCTTTTATCCTCTATGTGTCGATGGAGGGAAATCCTGTCACTGAGGTAAATATTGATGGCATATCTCTCAATGAGTTCTTCTTGCTGCTTCAGTTCACCCTCGTTGAGATGGAGTTTGCTGGCTTTCCCCCATTCCCCAAGTGCATGGGAATCTGCAGGGGGCTTCTCATATAGCGGTCGAGACAAATCCTCTATATTTTTCTGGAAGTCTGAGAGCCTTCTGGACCCCAGCTCCCTGGCATGGCCGGCTCCTGTGGAGGCATGGAAAGTGGAGACCAAGAGCTCCAGGAAGATATAGGCCACTGTTAAAAACGCCAGCAGCAGGCAGCTCTTGCCTGCCCAAGTCCACCTCACCGCCATCCGGTTCAGGGCTGGGGCGCAGACGCCGCCACCCAGCCACCACGCAGGGGGAGGGCGGCGGAACCCACAGCTCGAGCTCAGGTACTTTCCAGCAGGTCCTTCCTTTCATGCAGGCGCTGGGCTCCTTTCCAGTCAACCGGGCTTTCCAGGGGTCACCTGGGCTTTCCAGGGGTCACCTGAGCCCTCTCGGTCCTCGGCCCCGGCACAGCCAACTCCTCTCTCCCCACTTCCCCCTGCTCGGCTCACAACTTTTCACCAACTCTCCAGCCAACACCCCACCCTCCCGGGCCGAGGACAAACCCCTCCCCTTCCCACTCACTCCTCCTGGTGGTTAGACTGCGAAAGTCGTCGCCAGGCCCAGACGGCTGAATAGGGGCGGGGAAAGGAGGAGCGGTCCCCGGCGGGGCTGCACCCCGCCGTGCTGGCCCTCGTCTCCAGGTGCTCTCAACCCCCATACGGGCCCTCAGCCGTTCTCCTAGGGGCCCTGGCTGGACAGGAGGAGATTTCCGTTCCGGCCCGTGGAGCTTCTGTCACATTACAAAAGGAAAACAAGAATAAGACTTACCGAGTTGCTTGCCGTTGGAGCTGAAGTCCAAGGAGGTGAGCGCAGCTTTGTGACCTTTGAAATAACGCTCCAGAACGGGGTCCTCCTGAAAAGGAAAGTTATCAAGTTTTGAAAGCAGCCGCACACCTCGAATTCTGGGGGCCGGGATCGACACTGCCACTCCCCCGGAGGCCGGCCTCGGAATGGCTACGCAGGCGGCGATTTGGCGGGGCGGCAGGGCGGCGGGGCAGGACAGCAGCACGGGCTCCGCGCACAGTCCCGCCACAGGGCGACGCCGGCACCAGCTCTCCCCACAGGGACCGCAAAACGCTCGGTTCGCGCTTCCCGGAGTCCAGCGCATCGCAGGAACCGCGGCCCCTTTGAAATGCACGTTCCCGGGCGCCGCCTGCTGGCAAAGGGCAGGCAGGTGCGAGGATGAGCCTCAGCTTTGGTACTTTTTTTTTTTTTTTTTTTAATACCTCCCAGGTGATTCTGACGCAGGCGCTTCAAGGAAACCCTCCGAGAATTCTGGGGGTCAGGGGGGCCACCCGGCTCAGTCCGGAGCTCCGGAACTCCGGGAAAAGCGTCCGGGAGCTGGGTCTGGGCTCCGCACTCTGGCCGCCCCGGTGGCAGAGAGTGAGATGCGGATACCCCAGGACTAGGGGCTCAGGACCCGGTAGCGGACACCTGTCTCCCACTCCTGCCAGGTGCGGGCTCGGCCCGGACCTGGCTCGCAACCCGCTGGACAGGCTCCGGGGAGGAACTCACACCACCCCCCCCATCTCCAGTCCGTCCTTACCGTGGCTGAGGCCATCGGAGGAGCGTTCGGCGCTTGACCCCTAAGGGTGGGAGAACCCGGAGAGGGGAGGGGAGGGGAGGGGAGGGGGCGAGAGGGGACCGTGTGGCGCCCGGAACCGTCTGCCTAAAGCGGCAGCGCCTCCCGGTCACTACAACAACGGCGGCCCAGTTAAACCCTGCGCTCAAGGCATGGCCAGTAGAGCCCCGAGACCCCGCCGACGCTGTTAAGAGCGGGCGGGAGGGATGCTCCAGATCAGCTGTGGCCACACACCAAAGCCCATGTTTACTAACACTCGCGTTCCGCCACGTTTGATGTCAGGAAGTGGGGTAGTAACCAAGACAGGAATAAGGAATGAATGGAAGGGAGTTGTGAGCCTGTGATCGATGCAATCAGAGTTCTATTACGTTTTAAAGAGACAGCACCCGAGACGTTCAAGGTGGTCCCCTACTGATGATTTTGTTGAAAAACTTTGACAGGAGAGGGACAACTTGCTAGTTATTACTATACTAAAAGAAACTAGATACCCGGAGGGCAGATTTGAATTTATTTAACCACTGTTTTCCACACAGTTCCCTTCGTGATATTGATATAGATGCTGGGTGTGCGTGAGGAATGAATGAGTGACTGAATGAATAAATGTTGTGCGTGCACTTAATAATTTTCCGCGATATGTTTCCATTCTCGTCTTCTCATTGGCGTATGCCTTAGAGCACTAAACTTACACAGCAGGATAATTAAAGTCTTTAGGAAGACTTGGAAACATGGTTTTTGTTTGTTCTTTTTTTTTTTTCTTCTCTGTTATGAGACCGAGACCAGGTTAGCACAGTAGGCTTTGTTACTGAGTATCGTTTGTGCTTCAGCCAAACTATGAAGTTGGTAGAATTACAAAATGTTTTCAATGTTTCCAAGTTATAAATGATTCCTAGATACTGATCTTAGAGGTCATACAGAGACAGCTCTTCTAAGTCCATATCCTTTTTTAACCCTGCCTCAAAGCATGATGTTCTGAGCTGAAAATTACATATAGTGTAAGGATCCTTTGCAGCATAAAAAGGCATGATAGAACACAGTTGGTAAGACTGAAAGGTATGCTACACACCTTAATTACAGATTCCCTAGTTGTCTAGTGATTGAGTTTAATTTTATTGAATATGGTACTTAACAAACAGGTAGGCTTTAGATTCCAGTATTAGTTAATTTAAGTATACATTTGTTAAATATCTGTTATATGTTTGGCCTTGAGGGACACAAAGATGACTAAGATATTCCCCCTACCTTTGGGAACTCAGCAATCTAGGGTTGATGAGTCTCATGTTTTAGCATTTGTAATGTTGATTTAGGGGCAGCATTTCCAGAGATGCTGAATAAACATAAACAGAGTGGAATCCAGGGCCCTTCTGATGTAACAAGCACCATAGATGATTACTATGGGAGTCTCAGCTGTCTATGTTGAGAAATAATGCATTAGCCTAGGAGATGAGACGTTAAGAGTGTTGATACCAGGAACTTGCCAGCAAACTGTGGCAGGACTCTTAACCTTGCTCCTTATTCCCAGTTTAGGTTTGACTTATTTTAAAACCCTGCCATGTTTAAAAATAATGCTGGATACTGGTGGGAATGTAAAATGATGTAGCTCTGTGAAAAAGTTTGTCAGTTCCTCAAAAAGTTAAACATAAAATTACCTTATAATCCATCAATTTCACTGCTAGGCATATCCCATAAGTATTGAAAGCAGGCACTCTATAACAGATGCCAATATTCAAAGCAAGCATTATTTACAATAGCCAAAAAGTGGATACAATCCAGGTATCCAACAGATGAATGGATAAACAAAATGTGATATATAGATATAAGGAAATATTATCCTGTCATAAAAAGAAATGAAATTCTGATACAAGCTACAACATGGATGAACCTTGGAAACATTGTGCTAAGTGAATAAGCCAAACACAAAGGAGCATATGTTGTATGATTCCACTCATATAAGGTATCCGGAATAGGTGAATTCATAAAGGCAGAAAGTAGAATAGAGTTTACTAGAGCTAGGGGTAAGGGAGACTGGGGAGTTACTGTTTAATGGATGCAGAGTTTCTATTTAGAATGATGAAGTTCTGGAAATAGACAGCGGTGATGTTTGCACAACATTGTAAATGTACTTAATGCCAGCACATTGTACACCTAAAATGGGTAAAATGGTAAATTTCATTATAGGTATTTCACCACAATAATAACATAATACCAGAAGCTGAAGAGTAATCAGGACCTCAGGATTACTCATAGCCAGTGTTATGTCTAATATTGGGCACAGCAGAAGAAGAAAAAGGAAGAAGTTGGATATTTAGAAACTACCTCAAAATAATTAAAAAATACAGATTTTTATTTAAGTGTTTTAGTAAAAATTTAGTTTTTACTTTTTTCTCAATTATCAAAAAACACGTTTTAAATTTAAAAGATGAGAGAGAATTTACCTATTAGTCCTATCATCTAAAGTTGATCTTAAAAATTTTGTCACCCTCTGATATGATTTGGATTTGTGTCTTCACTTAAGTCTCAGGTACAATTGTAATCCCCAGTGCTGGAGGAGGGGCCTGGTAGGAGGTGACTGGATCACGGGGTTGGATTTCCCCCTTGCTGTTCTCATGATAATGAGTGAGTTATCATGAGATCTGGTTGCTTAAAAGTGTGTAGCACTTCCCCCCTTTATCTTTCCCTGCTGCTCCAGCCATGTAGGATGTGCCTGCTTCCCCTTCCCTTTTCACCATGATTCTAAGTTTCCTGAGGCCTCCCCAGCCATGCTTCCTGTACAGCCTGCAGAATCACGAGCCCATTAAACCTCTTTTCTTTGTAAATTACCCAGTCTCAGGAGTTCTTTATAGCAATGTGAGAACGGACTAATATAGCTACCTATGTCTTCACTACATGCCAGGTACTTTTCTAAGTACATTACAAATTGTGACACTTAATGATCATAATGTTCTTATTAGAGATGTGCTATTATTACCATTTACATTTTATAGATGAGGAAATCGATATGCAGAGACATTAAGTTACTTGGCCAAGGCACACTGCTAACTAGGAAGTGGCAGGGTTGAGATTTTTAGACACTCAGAGTCTGCCTCCAGAGTCCACTGTCTTAATCCACTGTCATGACTTTTGTGTAATTGCAAGTGTATTGCAAATGTATAAAACATTGTGTTCTTGTCAAGGTTTTAATAATAATAAGTTTTACAAAAATGAAAGTAATGGCTCCTTTATTTTCAATCCACTGTCCTCACTTATTACTCTAAACTGCCCTTCCTGTTGTTCTTTTCCATATTTGATTTTGTCCTTTTCTGCTTTTCTTCACCTTTGCAAACAGCAAAAGCTCAGAGGGAGACATTTGGAAATGTGGTCAAAGTTGAGGAAGTTTTTTCTAACCTCAAGCCTAATTCCACTTGCTGCAGTGATTATTTAGACCGCTCTAGATTGCAACCTAATCATTTATATGAGTGGGAGCCACAGCAGGATCAGTGTTTAAAAATCTACAGGCTGGGCGTGGTGGCTCACACTTGTAATACCAGCAGTTTGGGTGGCCGAGGCAGGTGGATCATCTGAGGTCAGGAGTTCAAGACCAGGCTGGCCAACATGGCAAAACCCCATCTCTACTAAAAATACAAAATAAATAAAATGAATAAAAAAATAAAAACCTACAAGGTTTTTACTGGAGGCCAGGTACTAGGTTGGACAGACTGGCCTCTAATTAGCCCTCCTTTTCCAGTTCCCCCTAAAACAGAAATTGCATTTATTTACATGAGCATTATAGTTCTTTTTATTTTAGCAGTGGTGATTTGGCCTTCAAATTTGGAAATTCGGCATAGCTCAAAAGTGCCATCTGCTGTTCACATTACTATATAGCACTTGGAGTGAACATTAAGCCTGTTTACAGGCAGTGGAACTCCCTTACACTTCCTCCGAAGTATAGGAGAGCACATGGAAAAGTACAAGATGAGTTTGAATCAATAACGAATCACATTTTTGAAAACAGCATGATTCATTTAAATCAACATTCAGTCTCCAAGTCCTATCAAGATATCCTTACTGTGTGTGTGTGTGTGTGTGTATACACACATACGCAGACACACACACACACACATGTGATGGGCTGCCCAGACTGGCCTTGAACTCCTGGGCTCAAGTGATCCTCCTGCAGCAGCCTCCCAGATAGCTGGGATTATAGGCAAGGTCCTCACCAAGTATTTTATCTTCCTATCTTTTTGTCCTATGGTTCCTGTCACTCCACAGACCCTGCCTTCTACCTCCTAGAATATTTCAGTAACCACCAACTTGCTTTCTGATCTCAAAACGTCTCCTCTCTACCTGTCTAACCTGCATTTACCATCAAGTAACATAAGATTCACTAACGTAGCTTGCTAAAAGTAAAGATTTTTGGGCCTCGCTCCAAAGGTTTTGATTCAGAAAGTCTAGTGTGAAAAGTAGAAATCTGCATTTTCAAACAAGCTTTCTAGGTGATTATAATGTGCCTCAACATTTGGGAACCACTGGGCATATCATGCCATAGATCTTCTTTAAAATGCACTTTAAGTTCACTTTTAAATGCCTCAAACCAAGTCCTACTTTATATCTAACCACACATCTCCCCTGGGCCAATCCTTAAGCCATTGCAGTTAACTAC